CGGCGGTGTAACCTTGCCGCTTGTGCTCGGTGAGCTTGTGCCTGGGAGAGGGGGGGCGGGCATCACGGTTCTCAGAAGAGGGGTGGGGTCGCTTGCGATTAGTCGGAGGATACGTTGGTATGGGCAGTTTCTCAGGTAGCCCGTCGCGTGACCAATACTCCACGCCGTCGTCGTCACCGTCGCTCGAGAAACCTTCTGGAAACACATCCTCAGCGGTGCCGCCCTCGGCGCCTCCCTCGGCACCACCCTCGGCGGAAGCCTCTGTGTCACCCTCGGCGCCGTTTTCGCCGCTCGCATCCTCAGCGGTAGCGACATCATCGTCGACGCCGATTGCAGATTCGTCCCAAGGGCAATCTTCAAGCCGTCCCCAACGTCCTCCAGGCACGTGGTTGACTCGGACGTACACATCCGGCCCGTTGTTGTTCTCCGGTTCGGACAGGAATTCGTCAAACGCCGACGCGGGCAGCAGCGTGAGCACAGGCTGATTGGCAGTGGGTTGCGGTGACACATGAACCAGAGGCGAAGGAGGAACAGGAGGCGCAGGAGGCGAAGGAGGCGAAGGAGGAAGAGGAGGCGAAGGAGGTGCAGGAGGTGCAGGAGGCACAGGAGGCGCAGGAGGCTGTGGTGGCTCTGGTGGTTCTGGCGAGAGACGGGTGCACCACCCGTCAGCGTCTACTGTAAACGCGGGCCTTCGAGCAGGTTTTTTCTTGAACAAGAAGTGGGTGCCGCTGAATTCCGCCATGGCTTCCGCAGCCAGGCGGGAGTGACCAAGAAACGGATGAAGAAAGTGAGAGAAATGGTGCACAAATGAGCGATTCAAAGGGACCCCTGCTGGTTTGCGCCTCGGCTCTCCTCGTCGGGTCGAGACGGGTACCCCCTGTCTGAACCCGGAGAGGAGGGTATCGTGGCACGAACATGATGCGCTGGCAGGTCATTCCACCGCCTTCTCGATGGTTCGGGTGAAATGCAGCTGCCTGCCACCGCATGGTACCCTGATTGGGCCGCATGGCAACATTCACGTCAGCGCTGGCAGATTCCCTGCTCCTGGACGTGGTCTGTGCGGTCGGGAATCGAATCGCGGTGGGATTCGGCGGGATTTCATGCATTTCCTCCAGCGCACGTTACACAATTGTGTTCGCCTTACTGCGGGCTTCGATTTGGTACCCTAAAATAACAAAAACATTTTTTACCATGATATAAGCGCCGGCGCTTATGGCCGTGACTCAATTACAAGCGCCCCCCCCTAAAAAACCCGGTTTTTTTATAAGCGCAGATGCGCCTATATCCGGGGTGATACGGGTAGTTTGATCTGCAGGGAGTGGTTGGCTGTCTTCTCGAGGCGTTGTGATTGACAATGTGGAGCCCCACTCACAGCCTTACTTGCTCCCTCTTGGGCACAGGACACAGCAGCCGCACGCCTTGCACTAATAGCCTTGCTAGTACTGTAGTTCATCATGTAATTTTCAGTTATTACTTCTACGGCAACGGCACCTCATATGCCGCCACAAGCAGAAAACCTGCTGCTGTAGTTCGTCATGCGTTTCTCAAATATTACCGTACTACTCATAAGGTGCCTTATATGCCCCCTACAAGAAGTAATCTTGCTGCTGTAGGGTGTCATGTCTTTTGTTTTCCGGTGGTTCATGCTATGGCAATTTCTAAAGAGAGTGGTTGATGTGGTCCGGCCGGCACAACTCTGTGCCGTGTGCTCCGAAACATATCGAAAGACGTCCTCGCAAAGACTAGCTCTTTCTTGCTGAAAAGCAGCATCAGCCATAGCCATGAGTGCATAGAGAAAAGGGCAGATGCATTGTTAAGTGGCATGCAGGGCAACAGCTGGCAGCACGCTATTGGAGTAGACGGCGAGCAGGCCGGCGGCAATCCCAAGGGCCATGTTAGAGGAGCGAGAGGTAGAGGTGGAAGAGGGCGAAGAGGGCTGCAGAGAGCATGGCAGCGTCGATCCTGAGGGAGTGAGTGGCAGGAAGAGGATAGTGCAGGAAGGTGAGTCAGTCAAACAAGACTTGGCCTGCTGACTTGAGTTGACTGATTCGCGTTGACTTCAGGACTTCAGTTCTGAGATGCACCATGACAGGCTGAGATGTAACATGACAGGCTGAGATGTAACATGACAGGATGAGATGCACCATGACAGGCAAGGCTAAGAAAGAACAGGAAAGTGGGACTGGATTGCTGGGAAAAAGTGTGTGCATGGGGACGTGTGGAAATGACCAAACCCAAAAAAGGCAGCAGGTGGAGGCGCGGCCTTGCCAAACCTCCCTTCCGAGCCTCTCAAAGCATGCCTCTCACCTGCCTGCCGAGCCTCTCCTGCAGGGCCGTAAGAAGCAGTCCTCTGAACAGCAGCTCCTCTGCTACAGGCGGTGACACCGCCACCCACAGGAACAGCTGTAGCAAGTCCAGAAGAGGTAAGGCCATGACAGCTGTAGCAGAGGAAGCTGTCACAGTCGCAGCTGTAGCAGCTACATCTCCTCCAGTCCCATCAGGCAGCAACAGAGGACCCACCCAGCAACAAGGCTGTAGCACACACACTATCCCCCCCTCCTCGTGCTCCTGCTCCTGCTGCTGCTGCTAGTTCTGCTAATCCCCCTGCCGACTCCTCTCCAGCATCTGTCTTTAAGTGAAATCAATGAGGAAAACAGAGCCCATAGAACAGAGCCGCTTGCTGCCCCTGCGACAATCGCCCCTTCCACCAGCTATAGTTCCCCCTCCCTAACGCTCCCCTCTCCCCGTCCCCATCCCCAGCCACAGTGGTTGATGCCATGGCGATATCTGAAGAGAGGGGCTAAAGTGAAGATGCACACAAAGACATCAGGCATTGGCGCACACCCTCACTCCCAGGCATCTGCGGCACACTGGACGCCGAAGAAGCCTATCAGCAGCAGCAGCCCTACAGCTTGACCCCAAACTTCTCCTCAAACTGCTTGTCTGAGCAGTGAACAAATTGGCGCAAACACACCATCTTCCTGTGCACCTCCAAGCTCACAAGCTGCTGATCTGTAGCAGCTCTCCCCTCTGCCTCATGATTGCCTAGAAGTTCCTCAAGTGGCAGTTCCCTACCACCAAGCTCCCTCTGGCACTGCTGCTCTTGACTGTCACCCGTTCGTTCGCTTTTTCTGCTTTCCACCTCCCATTCCATTCCCTCTACTCCCCCCACTTCGTCAGAAAGTAAGGAAACAGAATGCAGATTGCTCCCCTGCTTCCCAGCTTGAATCCGAAAATCTCTCCCGGCTCCAACACTCGCCCGCCTAACCATCTCGCGTGCCACAACCGCATAGCCGATTCGCACCAGTGCCACATGCCGCGGACTGATTCGCCGATCCAAACTCAACCCAAGAAATGATGGGTAGGCAAGAACCTCCATTATAGAGAGCCCCATGTCCCGTTTTAAGTACTCCAACTTGGGTTTCAGGTTCGTTTTCCAACTGTAATAGATCGACGGCGGGTACCTCACAACCAAATCCACCACGAACTGATGAGCCGTGCATCTCCTGACACTTAGTGCTGAGTTAAGTGCCTGGGATTCATTTCCCCTTTCCAAGCAATTACCTCTATCACCTTCCCCCAACCTTTGCATCCCACTTCCCTCTTCTCCACTTCTCTCCAATGACTCTTCCACTTCTCGCACAAGCTCACTAAAACTTTCCCTCATGACATCTTCACTACAAGGTAATAGCAAAGGAAATATTGCCACAGCCCGCAAGGCGTTCTCTCGGCCGATCAAATCAACCAATACCGCCATCTTGCCTTGCAGATTCTCCTCCGATAGTGTCAAAACGATCGGGTAACTCTGTGCCACTCTTCTTGCTGCCTCCTCCCCCACCAGCTCCACAAAGAACTGGAGCTTAGCTAAGAGAGTTTCTGTGGAAAGATTGAGGATGGTGGGGGCCCACCAAAGCACAGTGGCAATGAAACGGGTGTCCAAGAAAGTGGACTGCGGCTCATCTAGCTGCTGCTTCAGGAGGCTTGTGCTCGTGCTATCTGCTTCTACCTTCCCCCCAGATGCCGATTGAAATAAAGAGGATAATGTTCCGAGCCGAGTACTCACCGCCTCTTTGCTCAGAGTCAAGATGGAAGGACATCTCTCTATAATCACACCCAGCTTGTCCACAGGAACCCCTGCCTCCACCAGAATGTCCAGGTTCGTTGAACGTGCCTCACAGCAGAGTAAGCTGCGACCACGTCGGAGCACCATACCCAATCTGCTACGGGGAACGCCTTTAGCCAAAATAAACTCAAGCATATTCCGAATCTGTTGCAGGGAGGAGCGGAGCCAGGCTGGAGTTATCAAAGCCATGTGCGCGACGTCAGCATTGGAAATGCCATACGACTGGAGGAGACGGACACGTGGCAGAAAGTCATTGGTGGGATTGGAGCGGAGAAGTTGAGGGTAAGTGGCGAGGAGGGAAGCGACAGTGGAAGGGGAGGAGATGCCGAGGTGGGAGGAGAAGAAGCGGTAGAGGGAGAGGAGGGCGGAGGGAGATACAACCCGCCGGTTGTACAACGTGGGAGGAGATGAGTCGGGTGGTGTGTCCTCACACGTCTCTGCTTCTGCATCCTCCTCATCCTCCTCTTCCTCCTCCTCCTCATCGTCCCCCTCCTCCTCCTCTTTCACTTTCTCCACCCCCTCTTCGTCCTCCCTGCTTCTTATCCCACTCCCTAACTCCTCCACCTCCTCTCTAACGATCTGAGGCCCGAATTTCTCCCTCAGCACTCCAGCAATCACTGCCACTGCCTCCTCCTCCTCCTTAGAGACTTTCGTCCTGTAACTCTTCCGATTGCCTCCCTCACTCTTCACCGCAGCATTCCCCGCTACTACCCTCTCAATCCTCTCATTGCCACCTCCCTTTTCTCTCCCTTTCACTTTCCTGATGCTACTCTGACCTCCTCCCCCATCCCCCCTCTCCTTGCCCTTCAACATACGCGTTTTAAGTTCCGATTGCACTGTTGTTAGAGACTTGCTTCTAGAAAGTGATTTCGACCCGATGATAGCAGTCTCCGCCTCGGAAGCTTCTGCGTCTACTGGCCTAGAAGGCGCACCAGCGATGGACCATGAGGCGAAGCTTCGGACGTGGAATGAAAAGGTCTCTTGAGCCGCCTCGAAGCCTCGGCCTGGGTTTTGGATTTGAGAAAACGCGTTTCGCGCGGGTTCGTTTGGATTAGATCCGATCCGATGGAGGCTTGGCAAGAAAGGTGTAGAAGATAGCGATGTGATTCGGTTCGTATGAGGTATCTCAAAGGTAATAAATCTGGAAATTGAACCGACAAATGGCAGTGACATATGAGGTAGGACTAGCCATAGCGATCGGCGGGCTGATCTACGCGAGGCGACGTTTAAGTTCATGAAATCGTCGCTTTTGTCGAGGTCTTCTTAAAGCGGCGGTATACATTTGGCAGGGCCTGTGCCAAAAGTTTATAAAAGGGACTTTGTGGTAACCCAATTACAGGGCCACTCAACCCCTGTCACGAGCGACAGAATGGCTCCAACCCCCTCACCAGACTCGATCGTCAAAAGTTATTGAAATGCCAAAAGTATACTGAAGGAGTTGCCTCCTCCACAAGCCCCACCCCCTGGCATAGCTTAGCGCACACAACTAGCGTAACTACGGTGCGCAATAATAGCCATAGCAACCCGTATTAGTCATCGCGATCATAGCGCATCTCGTTTTTAGGTCAATTTCCGACCATTCCACAGTCTATTTCGCCTCGCGTTATGCAACGACATTCGCCGGCAGGGAGGTGAAAGGCTAGAGGCCGTTCACACCTACCCTGGCGGCGACGCTTCGCCGCGAATCGCCGCCGCAAGCGAAAACGAGCGGCCACGTGAAAGCCGTGGCCAGGAGCCACGCCGCGCCGTGCTGAGCTGCCTCGCCGGACCTCGCCTCGCCGTCCATCGTGAACACGCACGTGGCAACGATGAATGCGGAATAGCTTCGCATGTGCGCTGACGGAAGGTAGGCGCACCACATTTAGTCACTGGAGTGGGCTTACGCAGGTTGCGAAGGCGTCGGCGACGGTGTGGATTTTCCAACCTCCCCGCCGCCCGACCCCCGTTCCCGTCGCCCGACTCCCCTTCCCGCCTGCTCGTGTGAGCGGCGCAGCCCCGTTTCCGCACTAGCCTAGGAAGCCACAGGTGAGTTCGCGACGCGGAAACGAAACTTCCTCCCGTCCCGCCAGCCCTTCTCGCCTCCCCATCTCCCATCCCGCCTCCCGATATCCACTTCCCGCCTCCCGTTCTCGCCTTCTCGCCTCCCAACCTCCCATTTCCGCATCCTCTGCTCCCCTTCCCGCCTCCTGTTCTCCCATTCCCGCCTCCCGTACCCATCTGACCGCCAGCCAATCCTTCCATCCGCCGCCCGAACTCCCCATCCCGCTACCCGATCTCCCCTTTCCGCCTCCCAATCTTCCCTTTCCGCCGCCCGATCTCCCCTTTCCGCCACCTGATCTCCCCTTTCCGCCTCCCAATCTCCCCTTTCCGCCGCCCTTGTGACCCCTTTCCGCCACCTGATTTCCCCTTCCCCTTTCCACCTCCCAGTCTCCCCTTTCCGCCGCCCGATCTCCCCTTTCCGCCACCCGATTTCCCCTTCCCGCCTCTCAATCTCCCCTTTCCGCCACCCAATCTCCCCTTCCCGCCTCTCAAACTCCCCTTCCCTGCATCCGCTCTCCCCAGCCTGCATCCGCTCTCCCCAGCCTGCATCCGCTCTCCCCAGCCTGCATCCGCTCTCCCCAGCCTGCATCCCCCTCTCCCCAACCCTGCACCCCCCTCTCCCCATCCCTGCATCCACATCTCCGCCTCCCATTCTCCCATACTCTCCCTTTCCTCACTTCTCTCCCTCCCCTCCCTTTTCTCCGATCCATGGTCTCTTCTTTCAGTCCCTTCCGTCCCCTCCCTCCCTTCCCTCCCTTCCCTCACCTACCTCCCTTTCTGGGCCCTTCCCTCGCTTCCCTCCCTTCTCTCCCTTCCCTTCTTCCATCCCTTATCTCCCTTCCCTCCCTATCTCCCTTCTCTCTCCTCCCTACCCTTGCAGCCTTCCCTCCCTTCCCTCTCTTACCTCCCCGCGATTTCCCTTCTCTCCCGTCCCGCCATTCTCTTCCTTCCCCCCCTTCTCTCCCTTCTCTCCCGTCTCTCCCTTCCCTCCCTTCTCTTCCAGGGTTTACCTTCTCTCCTTTCTCTCCCTGCACTCCCTTCCCTCCCTTCCCTCCCTTCCCTCCCTTCCCTCTCTTCCCTCCCTGCGATCTCTTTCCTCCCTTCTCTTCCCGCCCCACCTTCTCCTCAATCCCTCAACACCGCCCCCATCAGCGCCAAACATTTTGGGCCGCCCCTTGTCCATCTCCTCCCTTTTGTTCATAACATCCCGCCTCCTCCATCTCCCTTCCCCGCCTCCCCATCTCCCATTCCTCTCAGGTCCTCTCTTTCTGCCCTTCAGGCCCACCTCTTCATCCTCACCCCTCCACTTCGCCTCCCCATCTCCTCAGCCCTCTAGCCTTCTTGTCATCCCGCCTCCCCATCTCCGATATCTCCCCATCCCTTCTCGAGGTCCCGGGTCCCCACAACAGCTGCCGCCACCCAATCTCCCCTTCCCGCCACCCAATCTCCCCTTCCCGCCACCCAATCTCCCCTTCCCGCCACCCAATCTCCCCTTCTCGCCACCCAATCTCCCCTTCTCGCCACCCAATCTCCCCTTCTTGCCTCCCAATCCCCCCTTCCCGTCTTTCAAACTCCCCTTCCGTCTTCACCGTGGAAGCTACCTCCCTCTTCAGCTCTCCTACCTCACTTTCTCTTTGTTTGGTCGTCTATTCCCTCCTTCCCTCCCCATCCTTCCCCTTCCACCCTCCCACTGTCTAACACCTTCTCCTTCCACCTACCTTCCTACCCGCATCTCCCCTTTCCCCCCTTCTCTTCCATGCTTCCCCCTTCCACCCCTTCCCCGCCCCGTTTTCAGTGTTCCTGATTCATGTCGTGTCCCTTCGGCCACCGCCACTCTGCTGCTGCGAGTGTGGAAGAGTTAGGCGTTTGGGGCCGCTGGCATCATGCATCGTGATTTCGCACCAGGAGAGTCATCACATGGCACTCCAACCATTCCCCAATCACCCACTTTACCACCCATTCCTCCCATTCCCTTCCCATCCCACCCTTCCTGCTTCCTAAAACCAACCCCCTCCCCCCGCTCTCTCGTTCCTCCATCCCTCCAATTCCTTTCCCTTTCTTTGACCTGCCCCTTACCACCCTTCCCTCCCCTTCCTTCCCTTCCCTTCCTTCCCTCCCCTCGTGCCCTCTAGTTCCCGTGCATGTGCTGCCATCACTTTTGCCTCATAAATGCCTCTAACTCATATGTAATCACATGTATTTCCTTTCTCCCCTCCCTGCCTTCCTGACACACCTCTTCCATCACACCTCCCTGCCTTCTCGTCACACCACCCTGCCTTCTCATCACACCTCCCTGTCTTCACGTCACACCTCCCTGCCTTCCCATCACACCTCCCTGTCTTCCCTCCATGGGGATGGGGACCCATTATTTACAGCTGCGACACCAGGTGTCAGGGTACCTGTATGCTTGGGTAAAGCAGCCAGTTTTGCATTCACATGCTGCTCCGTACAAATGTGCCTGCTCGCTTTGCCCCAGCTACAAGCAGGACAACAAAGCCTGGCCCAAGCAAGCTTGGCGGCGTGAAGGGAGGTGCATCAGGTCCCAGGAGTGTGTGAAGGCGTGAAGATGACACCAATAGCAAAGGATGGTCCTGTTGTGTATACTGGAGATGATTTTAACATGTGTACATACAGCTTTGAAAGCTCCTTTCATCCCGACATCATTTGCAAACCTAAAGATGGTTATAGAAAGAGGAAAGGTGATCGAAAGACATAGGTATCCTGGGTTTGGATGGATGTAAACATTACTTGCAATACAAAGGTGTTGTAACATGCTATTGATACGGTAGTAAGGTACATTGAAGGCAAGCCTAAGCTGAACAAAAATGGTTCCTCTTGTTCCATGCTGCATGCGAGAGCCCTGAAAGGGAGGGTGGTGATCACTGGGGGTCGAAACATAGCATGGGGGTAACATGGGGCTAGCATGGGTGAAATATGGGCCAGCGATAGTGGGGAAACATGGGGCTAGCATGGGTGAAATATGGGCCAGCGATAGTGGGGTAACATGGGGCTAGCATGGGTGAGCGATGGGCCAGCGATAGTGGGGTAACATGGGGCTAGCATGGGTGAAATATGGGCCAGCGATAGTGGGGTAACATGGGGCTAGCATGGGTGAAATATGGGCCAGCGATAGTGGGGTAACATGGGGCTAGCATGGGTGAAATATGGGCCAGCGATAGTGGGGTAACATGGGGCTAGCACGGGTGAAATATGGGCCAGCGATAGTGGGGTAACATGGGGCAGCCCTGGGGGGAAATATGGGGCTTGCGATGTGTAATTTGGGGCTTGCAGTGGGAAAACATGGGGCTAGTAACATGGGGCTAAAAGGGGGGGTAACACGAGGCTAACATTGGGAAAAGATTGGGCTAGCATGGGGGGAATATGGCGATATCAGGGGGGAATATGAACGTGAGCGCATGGGGAAAACGTGGGGCCAGCAGCGGGAAACATGGGGCCTGCAGGGGGAATCATAGGGATAGCGTAGGGGAATCATGGGGATAGCTTGGGGAAATCATGGGGATAGCTTGGGGGAATCATGGGATAGTAGAGATGGGATGAGGCAGAGATGGGATGAGGCAAAGATGGGATGAGGCAAAGATGGGATGAGGCGGATCATGGGATAGTATGAGGCGGTGATGGGATGAGGCAAAGATGGGATGAGGCGGTGATGGGATGAGGCGGCGATGGGATGAGGCGGTGATGGGATGAGGCGGTGATGGGATGAGGCGGTGATGGGATGAGGCGGAGATGGGATGAGGCGGTGATGAGATGAGGCGGAGATGGGATGAGGCGGTGATGGGATGAGGCGGAGATGGGATGAGGCGGTGATGGGATGAGGCGGTAATGGGATGAGGCGGAGATGGGATGAGGCGGAAATTGGAAACTGTGGGTAGGGGGAGGGAGGGTAAGCAAGGGAAGGGTGCATAGGGAGGGGATGGAGGGGGGAAAAGGCGGGGAAGCACGGAGGGGAAAGGAGGTGAAGCAGGGGGGAAAAGGAGGGGGAGCATGGAGGAAAAGTAGGGGATGGAGGTGGGGAAAGGAAGGGAAGCTGAGAGGGAAAGGAAGGGATGCAGGGGGGGAAAGGAGGGGAAGCAAGGGGGGAAAAGGAGGGGAAGCAGGGGGGAAAGGAGGGGAAGCAAGGGGGAAAGGAGGGGAAGCAAGGGGGAAAAGGAGCGGCCAGGGGGAATGGAGGGGAAACGATGGAGATGCATGGAGATTGAGGTCCTTTGCCCGCCTGAGCATCCAGGTCTCTGGTGGGCGGCACTACCACCGCCCGCACCACACGCCCTGCCAGTGCCTGCACCAATGGCAGTGCATACGATAGGGTAGCAGGGGGAAAACAAACCAGAAATGAGGGGAGAAAAACAGAGTGTAAGCTGGAGGGGAAGGAAGAGTGAGCATGTGGGAGGAAGGCTAGCACGGGTGAAAGGAAATGGTAAGCAAGGGGGGGCTATAATGAAGAGGAGGGGGGGAATTAGGGGAAGGAGTGTGGAAAAATAGGGGAAGCAAAACGGAAAAATGATGAGAAGCAAGGGAGGGAAGGCGGGACAGAGAGGAAAAGGGGGAGTGCGGAAGAGAGGAAGGGGGCAAGGGAGGAGATTGGTCGAGGTAGTGAACAGGGGGCTAGAAGAAGATTGAATGAGAGAGGAGATGGAAGGGAGGAGAATTGACGAGGGGGAGAAGGAAGGGAGAAGGTTGGACGGGGGAGGAGAGGGAAGGGAGGAAAATGGACGAGTGTTGGATGAGATTGGATACGGAAGGAGTGGTAAACGAGGGGATGCTGTGGGGGGGGGGGACAGGAGGGGATGCAGGGGCGGAAAGGAAGGAATGCAGGGGCGGAAAGGAAGGAATGCAGGGGCGGAAAGGAAGGAATGCAGGGGCGGAAAGGAAGGAATGCAGGGGGGGTAAGGAAGGAATGCAGGGGCGGAAAGGAAGGAATGCAGGGGCGGAAAGGAAGGAATGCAGGGGCGGAAAGGAAGGAATGCAGGGGCGGAAAGGAAGGAATGCAGGGGCGGAAAGGAAGGAATGCAGGGGCGGAAAGGAAGGAATGCAGGGGCGGAAAGGAAGGAATGCAGGGGCGGAAAGGAAGGAATGCAGGGGCGGAAAGGAAGGAATGCAGGGGGGGTAAGGAGGGGATGCATGGAGGGAAAGGAGGGAGCAGAGGGAGCAGAGGCAGCGGAGGCAGCAGGGTAGGGGGGAGCGCACCTTGATCTGGTACAGCTCGAAGACGAAGAAGATCATGTCCGGCTCCACCTCCGCCCCTGTGAGTCGCGCACCAAGGGATGGGGAGAGCCATGGGGCAGGCAGGGGCGAGGGAGGGGTGAGGGAGGGTGGGAGAGAGTGCGGGAGTGAGGAGAGGGAGGGGGAAAGAGGAGAGGAGGAAGTGTGACAAGAGTGGATGGTTGGGTAGCGGTGGAAGGAGGAGGCGGGTGCGTGGGGCGCAGAGCAGAGGGAACGACAATGGCTCGGGGGGAGCGAATGCACGCTGGGGGAGAGTACGCGCGGGGGAAACGAATGAGCGCGGGGGGAGCGAATGTGCGCTGGGGGAGCGAGTGCGCGCGGGGGGAGCGAGCGAGCGCGGGGGGAGCGAATGCACACTGGGGGAGCGAGTGCGTGTGGGGGGAGCGAGCGAGCGCGGGGGGAGCGAATGCGCGCTGGGGGCGCGAGCAAGCACGGAGGGAGCGAGTGCGCGCGGGGGCCGCGCGTGAGCGCGGGGGGATCGAGCGTGCGCGGGCAGCGAATGCGCGCTGGGGGAGCGAGTGAGCGCTGGGGGAGCAGTGCGTGCTGGGGGAGCGAGTGCGCGCGGGGGGAGCGAGAGCGCGCGGGGAGATCGAATACGCGCTGGGGGGGCGAGTGCGCGGGGAGGGAGCGAGTGCTCGCGGGGGGAGTGAGTGCGCGGGGAGCGGGCGGACGAACACATGCGGAGGCGTAGAATGCGGTCGTTTATTGTAGTGTTATCTTTAGCTTGTGCGGACTCACGAGAAAACGGTTTAGTGGTCGTGGTGTTTGTTCTGCCGGCCCAGCACCTAATAGAACCTAAAGTGCGAGTCTTGGGATAGAACCTAATAGAACCTAATATGCACCAGTACTTGGTGTTTGCTCTGGAGTAGTGATTTCTATTGTGAGTTCACAACTCCCCCGAAGTGGTGGAGGGGCTCGGAATTTTCGCCAAAACGATCGCCAAGCTGTTTCACTTTCGCTGGGGCGAAATAGTTTTGGGCACTGTAGTCACCCCAACAGTACTGCCAAATGTATACCGCCGCTTTAATCGGCGCGACTCGCGCCGTTTTCCTGGCTTGCCTAGGTCGGTCTTTGTAGTAGATTACTAGGGCAAATGTCGTTCCATGCTGCAGTCTCATAACCGTTGGAGAAAATCTCGATTGTGTGGAAAGTGCTGGAGCGGTTCTGTTGTTGGGAACCCTTCAGCATTTTCTTGCAGGCTGGGTTCGGATTGATTTCACTTTGTAACCGGGTCTTACATCACGAATGACACTCATCTGCTGTGGCTGGGTTTCGCCTTGTTCATCATCGGCCATCGTGAATGTTCGCACTCTCGCTTTTGAGTGTGAGGAACCTTGTGCGTCCGTCGAATGCCTCTCGACTTTCCCCTGAAGCCAAATTCGCAAATCCGTCACTCGACCCTCCACCGCACTAAAATCCCGCGTTTTACACTTTTTAATATGGTGGTGTCGAAGCTGGTTAAGCGCGGTCGGAGTACTTACGCCAGTGGTTTCGGCTTTCACCGTACTGTTGACCCGGTCACTGGGTTGGACACCGATCGCATCCGCGGCCTGTTTATTCCTCATGCTGATGATGAGTACCGCTGGAGGTACTTTGTGGAGGACCCATCGACTGGCAGGCGTTGCCTGCTTCATTACCCGTTGCTTACCTGCGAGCTCTGCAGCGGTCAGCACATGTCTCGTTACCATGATCATTATGTCACCCCGCGCCAGGAGAACTTCACCAACTGGAACCTGACTGTCAAAAAGGTTCATGACATGAACGGTATAAGCAGGAAGACCCCGTCCCCTCGTCGTCTTTCACTTCCTTTACCTTCGCTTTCCACTCCGCTCATATCCTGCCTCCCGAATCGTACTGATGACTGTCTCCTCACCTCCTCCCGCAGCGGCTTCCCTGAAAGCCACAACGTCCCTGACACGCATTCTGAAAGATCCCGCAATCATACTTACCTCTACGGGAGGTGTGCGGGAGGAGTGGGTGTGCGTACAGACCGTTTGCGAGAAGGCTCAGGGGAATCGTTTCGAGCAGGCGGCGGCCCATGTTGCTTCTGCTAGGCACAAGGGAGGGCTGAAGAACGAAGGCGCTGCAACACGTGCCAGCAAGCACTCCTAGAAGATGGCTGCTTTCAAAAAGGAGTTCATGGCCATGCCGGCAAAGAAGTGACCAGTGGCTTAGCGGATGAGATGACATCGTGGTTGTTTGGAGCAAGTTGTGTAGTAGGTGCCATGTTCTCCTTTGCTGTAGTAGGATGCATCGTCGCAATAAAGATCAATCGCCCGTGGATGCTGTGGGGCTCAAAGGAAGTGGTTAATGGATAAACGCAACAGCTTAACCTTTCTCGAGCTCAACATCAACGGGCTCGGTAGCTGTGGGAAACAAGAGAGATGTGGAAAGTGGGTCTGGAAGGCAGCACACATAGTTGTACTCACCGACACACGAGTTTCACAGGATCATAACTTCTGGACGCAGGTCAGGTCGGAAGCTCAGGCGGTGGTTACCCCGTCACAGAGAGCCGGGGGGGTGGCGGTCTTGGGCTTCCTGCCAGGCATGCGGTTCACAGACGTGGTTAAACACGAGTCTGGCAGGCTCATAAGTTTGATGATTGCATGGCGGGATCTGTCCTGCAGGGTGGTGGCTGTATACCTACCTGCACAGGCACCCGCTAGGGGGGTCTTTTTTCGTGACGTACTAACGCCCTTTGTGCAGAGCTTGGGTGCCTCTCCGTATACCATATTGCTCGGTGACCTGAACATCGTTGCGGATCCAGAGCTTGACAAATCCTCCAAGCTTGGCACGCCGACGGAGAACCAGAGGCTCCTGCAGATTTGCTCGAGATGGGATCTGCAGGATGCTTTTCGAAGCCTCCACCCGACCAGGAAGGAGTACACTTTCTTCTCGAGGTCTGCGAAAACAAGCACGCGAATTGACAGGGCGTTAGTTTCACACTCCTTGCTGGGGTGTGTAACGGAGGCGAAGCATTGTATGGTACCCTACGGCCTGACAGACCACTGGTTTGCAGTAAGGGTGACGCTCAAGGCGGCGGCAGCAGATGATCATGGGCCGGGGTTGTGGAGGCTCCAGATGCCTCGGTCCGGGGGTGATGGTGTCAAGAACATCGTCTCGGCGATGGTGTCGTCACATGAGAGCTGTCCGGATCAAAGCTTGGAGAGACTTGTGGTGAACCTGCGTGCATGTATGCGTGCTCACGTAACAGAAGAGAGAAAGAGGGTGAGAGCGACTTTGTTACACCTGGAATGGAAGGTGGAAGAGCTGCGATGGAAAGTGATGGCGGACGCCTCATCGCAGGCCCTATACGAGGAGCTGGTCAAGGCTGAGGCAGCACTTAAACTCTATCAGGATGATAGCAAGGAGCGGCTACAGGTCATGACGGGGCTGCTGGTGGAGCTGGCCAGTGAAACGCCTTCGGGTTTCCTGTCGGGTTTGGTCAAATCGAGAAAGGCAAAGACGGAAATTATGGAGCTGGTATACAAGGGGGTACAGATGAAAGGGGCGAAGGAAGTACTGCAGGCGGCTTCTGAACATTTCAGGGAAGCGTACGCGGAGGCAGCGCCTGGTCGCACCGCGGAGCCATGGCCGATAGATGAGGGAAGGAAGCTGCAGGATACGGACAAGCTGCAGCTGGATGCGGAGTGGTCGGAGCAAGAGGTGAAGGTAGCGCTCAGAGGCTTACCAGTGGGGAAGGCCCCGGGGCAGGATGGGCTGCCGAAGGAGTTTTTTTAACGCAACTGGGAGCTGCTTGGCTCGGCTGTGATGAAGGAGGTTCGTGGCTTCGAGTCCACGGGGGTACTCTCGGAAGCCTTTACAACCGCGGTAACCATTCTGCTGCACAAGAAAGGAGACAGAGGCGATTTGGGAAATTACCGACCGATTACATTACTCAGTTTCTTTTATAAGCTACTGGCGAAGGTGATGGCGAACAGAATCAAGCAGGTCTTACCGCGGGTCATCTCGGACAAACAGTTCGGCTTCCTCCCGGGGAGGAGCCTAGCCGATGCGGTCTCGCTGGTAGCGGATGTAATTGATGCCGCGCAGGAGGAGGATGAAGATTGGCTGCTGCTGTTGGTGGATTTCCAAAAGGCTTACGATTCTGTGTCCCGGGACTACCTGTTTGCAACGCTTAGTGACATGGGTTTCCCGGAGAAGTTTGTGCGGTGGGTGAGGGGCCTGCACGACGGTGCGGCGACCAGGATGCTGCTGAACGGTTGGGTAGGAGAGCGTGTGGTAATGGACAAGGGAGTGCGGCAGGGATGCCCGCTTGCTCCATATCTCTTCCTTTGCGCGGTGGAGCCGCTCTGCCAGGAAATTGGGAGGAGGAATCTGGGTGTTCGGAAACGAGGGGTGAAGGGGGAGTTAGCCTACATAGGATATGCCGACGATACAACACTTGTCTTGAAAGGAAAGGAGCAAGTGGCTACAGCGAGTAAGCTGCTCGACGACTTTGCAGAGCTTTCGGGGCTGAGAGTGAACAGTAGCAAAACGACGCTGATGCCGCTGGGGAAAAACAGGAGGAGACTGCTGCCGATTGAGTCGCCCTTCACGTGGGCTGACAAAGACAAGTCAGAGCGGCTTCTGGGAATCTGGATAACCTCTGGTGGGTCGCCGGGTCCTGCATGGGATAAAGCATTTGAAAAGGTCAGTGCGGTGCTGAGCTGCTGGGAGTCAAAACACCTCAAGACGTCGGCGCGAGTTACGATCATCAACAGCTACTGTATGCGATGCCGATCCTGCTGTTTCAAGCGCAGATCTATGCCCCGCCGCACGATATCTGGACCAAGGTGAAGAGGCTGTGTCACAACTTCATCTCGGGAGGAAGGGCGGTCCTCGATAGGCATTTCACCCTCTGGAGTTATGATCTGTCGTGCAGGGGACGGAAGGAAGGGGGGCTGGGCGTGATTGAGTCTGAAGGGCGTCCGTCTAGGCGACTGGGTGGCCAAAGGAGCAAGTGGCGGGAGGAGTCTCAAAAGCGAGGCGGTCCTGGAACGGGAATTGGGCGGAGAGGAGCAGAGGAAATGGGCCCTCAAGGCGTGGGAGGCGACGCCCCAGGGATGGAAAGATCTACTACTCGGTCAACTAACAGCGGAGGAGGTTTTCAGGGAGACGGGGCTTATCTGTACACCGTCGTACCGGCCGAGAGAGTTCTTTTACTATCGACTGGAACACGTGGAAGAAGGGGTGTTATATGGGAAAAGGGTGGAAGTGGATAAGAAGGGCTTCGTATCGACGGTGAGATATGCGGATGTGGTGGCGGTGGATTTCCTGCGAGCTACGCCTATGGCGGTCATCGACGGGAGGGCTCGTGGCCCGCTAGGAACTCCAAGGACAAGGCTGCTCCACACACCGATTTGTGACAAGGGAGAGCGAGCCGAGCTGAGACAGCTGAGGAAGGCGATGAAACCCCCGGTGTCCCAGCCTAAGCAGCAGTTGAGATGGGAGGAGGAGATGGGGAAGAAGATCGATTGGGGGAAGGCCATCACGGTCCGGGACTCCTTGGCAACTCCATGCAGAGCAAGGGAGGTGGTGCTGAGGTTGCACAGCAACAACCTGCAAGTGGGGGAGAGGCTGCCCTTTCTGGGGGAGAGGGCGAAATGTGTGCATTGCGGAGAGGTGGAGTCGCAAGATCACTGTTTGTTCAGCTGCCCGGTGATCCAGCCGGTGGTCAAGATGATGAAGGGGGCGGTACAGTGCATGAACCCGGGGTGGGAAATGAAGTCCCTCGGAGACATGTTGTTTCAAAAGAGTGGCACGTCGACCGGTTTTCCGGAAGATGCAATCATTTCGATCACAGCACAGCAAGTGTGGCTGGAGAGGTGCAATGCGGTGTTTCGTGGCAGTCGCTTTCAACCGAAGAGAGCACTGAGACGCATAGCGGTTGGTTTTACAAGGCACGTGAAGGTATACAGCAGAGCGCGGAAACGGTCGGCTGGCAGGGGTGTTTCAAAGAGGACGGGGGAGTGGAGTCATCTGCATGCTGACGAGGCAGCGGCTCCGGGCAGGTTGTATGAGAACGAAGCCTCGATGACGTGGAGAACGGGTTTCACGGCTGTGTGGAAGGACGGCGGTGTCGCTTTCCAGACCCCGTAAGGTGGAAGGGGGGGCCTGGTTACCTGTAACCATCTACATGCCCTCCTAGTATCAGTTACGACTGCGAGTGTATGTATGCGTGTAGTGTACTTATGCTCAAAAAAAAAAAACAAGAGGCGACAATGTCGTCCTAGGGTTGCGAAGCAATTTACAAAAAGTTGTATGGTATGTATTTCAACTACAAACTGTAGATGCAAAAGCGAATGTGAATGTAGCCTTGAGCACTCTTTGAAGCAATCTCACAAGATTCGAACCCGCAACCTTCTCATTACAAATTTCACTTTCTACCGACTGGGCCAAATCAACCGAGACATAAACTCGTCCTAAATCATCAACTACTTTTCTTTGCGACGAAATTGAAACCATCCTAGGGTTTGCGTTTCTCTTTCCCCTCCCTCGTTTTTCTCGCTGGTGGAGCTGGTTTGGTGCCCACCTGCAAGCCATACTCTTACCTACCACTCTAAGGTGAGAGGATTCAATGCCCTTCTCTAGAACTAGCTTAGATTATGCTAGACTACGGTTTCGTAATATCGTATCCTAGTCGTCTACTTCTAGTTTGTTGGCCTTTCTAGAGGTATGCAGATTGTTTAAACTTCAAAACTTGTCCTTTGTAAGACGGCAGCTTTCCCTTCTGTTTTTTAGGTCATTCATGGTCCAGCATCCTTGATACTTCATTTCTTCTATTGCTTAGCTTATTCCTTTCTCCTCTAGTGCTTGTCGTATTATTCTCTTTCCTTTCATCGTCGTCTCTGTACTCGTTTTAGATCATCGTTGTTTCTGCTAAGCTTCTCTAATTTTGTATGTTATTAGTAGTTGTTCATTCTGTTTCTTATGCTTGTACCGTCTTCTCTCCGTTCATTCTGTTTCTTTTTACGATTTTCTGTTTTCCATCACATTTTATTCACATACTTTATTATCTAATCACTTGTTACGTGCTCCTACTTTTGGAGATTATTAGTACGTTGGTCATTCTGTTTCTTATGGTTGTACCTTCTTCTCTCCATTCAATTTGTTTCATTGATTGATTTTCTGTTTTTCGTCACATCTTATTCTTATTTATTCACGTGTGCTGTGTTTGTCTCTTTCCGCTTCCTTAATCTTGTATAATCATAGTACGTTGTTCATTCTATTTCTTATGCTTGTACCGTCTTCTCTCCGTTCATTCTGTTTCGTTTGGTAATTTCCGTTTTTCATCACACCATTCTGGTTCTTATGCTTGTACAGTCATCTATCCGTTCTTTTTGTTTCGTTTATTGATTTTCTGTTTTCCTATCTGTTCAATTCTGGTTCTTATGATTGTACCGTCATCTATCCGTTCTTTCTGTTTCGTTGATTGATTTTCTGTTTTCCTATCTGTTCTTGTTGCTTTTTAACACGAGGCTCAACAATTTCATATGTTATTGGTTAGTTTTGAGTTTGATGCATTCCTGTATTGATTGGTGTTGTACCAACTGTAAGGCAATAATAACATAATGCATGTATGTCCTCCCCTTTTCTCCCATTATGCCTTGTTATTTCCCATTTGCTTTCCCTTCCTTAACCCTGTTTTGTCTTACCCTCCAGGCAGTCAAGCTCAATATGAGAAGTAGACTGATATTGCTTGTGACTTATGGTGTAGGATGTTGGAAACAATAAAACTTAAGCGCTTCAGTCGTGTCGAAAACACCGCATCAGAAGCGAGGCAAACTACACCGAAGCACCCGCGAGTCAACCCTCGGGGGTTGAAGAGGTTGCTGGAGGTTACGCGAAAGTCAAAGGTCAGCGATCTTTGACCCGACAAGTACAGCGCGACAGTTAAGGACATACAACTGACTCGTTACAGAGCAGTTGCCCGAGTCGTACTGTATCGAACCGCAACAGCAACAGCAAAAGCAGTTATAACTGTATCCCTTGATATTTCCTACATTATTATATATTCTTGTACTCTCTTGTTATAATTAATCTACTTTGCCCTCACATACTAGCGCAAGGTGGTTCACAATTTCTTCACTGAAAGCTTCCGCTATTACAATTGTCCTATCCAGAGTTCTCCCCTGAAAAGATCCTAAGGGGCTATCTCAGCCCAACATGGTATCAGAGCAGTCAGGGGAAATTCTACCTCTTCCAAATCAAAGACATTACAAGACATGGCAACAAACAAGGAGAGGAGCTCTTCTAATGGCTCCCCGGGCACTACTCCTACACCACCTCCTGCCTCTGGCCTGCAGACAGAGGAAGGCACGGCAACAAGACCTAGGGGAACGTCCACCGAGACTCTCACAAATCGCCCCACGGGCTTTGACCAGAGCATGATGGAGAAGTTCTTCTCCTTCATGTCCTTCTACGAGCAGCACCAGCAATCGGGACCTGCACAGACACACAACAGCAACAACGGAGTGACGCCCATGAGCCTTGATGGGTCGTCATACGCGCGCGGAAATCAACAGCAGCAACCTACCTTCGCCCCGTACGAACGCGGGTCAATCAGCTTCATGCCGCAGTCTTCGCCTGCACAAGACAAATCACTGGACGCGTTACAAGTACAGTCGCAGTTCGCACACGTTTTGAAGCTTCAAACGTCAAGACCATTCGACGGAAAGGACTTCTTCACCTGGTCCTTTGAGTTCGAGTTGATGATGGAGGGCGCGCAGATACTTGGC